CATTAGCACGGAGCCTGGAATTGTGCCCGGTATATGGCAATAGGCTCATATTACATGGGACTCATAACATAAATAGTGAAAAGTGAGTGTTATATTGTACAGTGGTATAAAGTGCACCTCTGCCTACCCCTTCGGGGATAAAAGGCTATTATGTTATGTTATTTTTAAGATTTTAATGATAATGTAATTTTAATTATATTGTAACTATTTTTTTAAATTACTTAAAAAAATTTTAGGTATACGAAACTCCCATACAAACATAGAGTCAAAAGTATGATCGGTGTATGACAATAGGTCCACCCCATTTAGCAGGACTGACACCATTATTGCCAAAAAGAGGGCGTAATTGGGACAACTCGGCCTACCCCTCGGTTAAGTTTTGTTATTAATATTGAAATATAAACGAACATCTACACAGAAAACTAAGTTATTTCTAAACCTTCTCATGTTACAGAAAGCCCCACTCAAATTGAAATAATTTGATCACAAACGATTTTATAAATAGATTTTGTCGTAAAATTTTGAAATGGCTAACCCGAGAGAAAGCTAAGTCTAATACAATAGTAAAATAGGGCTCGAGTTAATAGTAAATTCACGCAACATTAGATTCTAAGTTGATGTTAATAGCTATGTTATACAAAACTAAATAATGTTTGTGTGAAATGAAAACTGCTAAATTCCGTTGGCCTTGTGATTACAGGGCTCGGATAAGATAGCCATAATTATAATTATGTTACTTCAGTTAGTAATAAAATTATTGCTTTGGTACATTTTTAACATTTTAAGATAATTATCATAAGAATATTCTTTCTCTAATATAGTTTACGTTTAAAGTAAAATAGAGAACAAAAGCCACTGAATGGTTCAAAGGTACTATCATACCAAATAATAGATCGTAGCGTAGTTCGCATGAGAAGCGGTCGTAATTAAACAACTTTGATAGCAAACAATCGCTCGAATGACCGAATAACTCGCTCCTAAGTTCAAACACGAATTTCCGGTACAAATAAAACAATAAAAAATATTATAAAAGACTCAAGGAGAAGCGAAAGTTCAAAACTCGAGTCTTGATAAGCGTTCTTCAAAGTTTAATTGATTTTATATAATTTGTAGGCGCGACCCCGCTCGTACATTTGTGTTGAAAGGTGGTAGATCAATAAAATGATTAAATAATTCTGTACACTTATCACCGTGCGCTTTAAGAGCTAAAACTGTGACGAGGGTCCTACATCGTGACAATGGAACGAAACAATTGTTCTAATAAGAAGATCACTCTTTTTGTAATCCCTGTACATTGGTTGTTAAATTGCTGTCTCTATTGTATTTAACTAAATGTTTTCCTATGTTGTATCTGCAGTTCTATCTATTGCATATTTTGAGAAATAGTTGATACCGTATTTTGTATATTCAGGAAAAAGAATTTCCTGAGAACTTTGCTTAAATCACAAAGAGACAAGTTATCTCACAGGGTATACTGTAACTGTAAAATATGTTTTAAAAAGATATTGACTATATCTTTTTAAAAGATATTGACTTGACTTTATCGCACCCTAGTAAAATCATTATTAACGAAAATTTGAGGATTTATAAGAACTTACAATTTTCTAAAAGTCCTAAAATAATTATATTGAATTAAATCAATTCGTGAAAACTTTCGTTTAATAACGCTTTTACTTTTAAGGTACGTCAAACAAATCACAATTTTATTTATGATAATATGCTATAGTGTTTAATAATTTGATTATGTACTAATTTTACCTAACCTTTAAAAGACGAGACGATACGTATTTGAAAGTTTTCGATATCATTATTACGTTCCAAATGTTTCGTATTTTAACGTAATTACTAAAGTGCGTGTCGAAATCGGAACTCTTACGTGATATCGAAGTGATTAGTAACAGTATTTCTAAAATGTTCACACCTAACTCTAAATATGGGATTTGTAGAATGTAGAATATTCCGCTTGTAAGTTTCGTGTAATTGTAGTTATAAAATAAATCTGAAGATGGAAAGATTCGAGATTCTCAGAATTAGGATTACCTATCTATCTTAATCGACTGCCTCGTTGGCCGAGTGGTCGCAAGTGCGACTGCAGGACAAGGGGTCTCGGGTTCGATTCCCGGGTCGGGCAAAGTATTACTGGGTTTTTAAAAAAATTCTCAGTAGTAGCACGGAGTCTGGAATTGTGCCCGGTATATGGCAATAGGCTCACCCCCTATTACATGGGACTCATAACATAAATAGTGAAAAGTGGGTGTTACATTGTACAGTGGTATAATGTGCACCTCTGCCTACCCCTTCGGGGATAAAAGGCGTGAGGTTATGTTATGTTATGTTATATGTTATGTTCTATCTATCTTATTGTTATCGACACCATCTCATTGGTCAAGTGACCGCTAGTGCGATTGTCGAATGGAAATTCTCGAGTTTGAGTCTCAGACACAGTATAATTTCGTAATTGTCATTAACAAATCAGAGTCTGTATTGTACCCAGTAGTAAAATTGGTTTTTACAAATTGGGTTTTACACATTGGGTTTTACTCTCTGATTATTCATTTGGCGAATAAAAAGCATCATAATTAATAAAAATATTACTTAGGAACGAGTGAATACTTCAGCAGTTCCGTTTAATATAGATCTATTGGGCTGATACAATCCTTCTTGGCCAGAATAGCCAATATACGAAGTGTCAATGCAAGTTAAATCTCGATCAACGCTTCAAAGGAAAATACTCTGATTACTTTTGTGAACGAAAACGCCTTGCGAAGATAGAATACAAGGAAAGAAAAGGTAATTATTTATATCTCAGGATATATTTTTATTTTTTATTTATTGTCTGTCCTTTTTATAAGTTCGTCCTCTTTCGGACGTTAAGTTTGCTCGAGATGAATTTTATGCTTGTTTATTTTTAGATTTACTTTTAAATTGGATTTAAAGTTACGTACATATTACATAGGTATACCTTTTTTGTCTTTTCGGATATCCTTTAATCTATTTTTTATTTAATTATTTTTTGTAACATATCTTTGCATGCCAAGTGAAGGCAAAATATGGAGAAACTGTAAACTTTGTTAACAGCTCCTATATATTGTGTACCAATGTTTGCAAATGATTAAATTAATTTGAATTTACGTTACTCCGAATTACATAAAATACGGAATAAATAATCATGTTACTTTTTTGAAACAAATGCCCTAACTTTTCCTTAAATTCCTAAACTCTCGTTTAAAAAAGAATGTGTAGGCATAAATTGATTTGTGAAATATTAACATTCCCTTCAGCGGGACTCGGTTGGAATATAAAAACGGCAATATCGTACATATATTGAGGTCGGAGACCAAAGATAATCAATTTTGTTTTCCATTCCCATTGTTATACCGCGTGAATGAGCACTGAGCATTCTTCCAACGAAATACGTAGTGCGAATAAATAAATGAATTGAATTAAATATTTTATTATTCGCTTTTTTATATTTTTAATGCTCAAAAAAGTTTATTTTGGCTTTTAATAAATTCGTCAATTTAGTTTTACAAATTTTCTCTTTTACCTATAGTGTTAAAGCTTCAGACATTATATTATAAAATTGAACAGGATCAACTTAGCATTTTTTTATAAGTTTGTAGTATATTTAAGTTTTAGTATACCCTGACTTTATCTAAGGTATATTAAACTTGTAATAGTTTTAATAATCCAGTTCATATAAATATTCTTCATGAATATCATCTGTGCGACTGAGATATGGGGACTTAGCCCCATTGACGCGTCGGGCCATTATCTACTTTGTCTTTTACGACATGACCTACTTTTTATTTATTTTATAACCTAAATTATTTCATGTCCATATATACTCTAATATGAAATAAATGATCTGTCCTCTTTATATCGTCTATTTTGTATATCGGATGACGAATTCAACTTTTCTTTTTTTAGTTGGTCTTTATTTCTTTTTTATTATTATTAAAATTTAATTCTTATTTTTATCTGAAAAACCGTGAATTCGATAGACGAGATGATTGATCATTTTTTAAATAATTTTTATGTATTCTTATTAGTTTAGTTTTTATTTTATTTTTTTTTTATTATTAAAATGTAATTCCTATTTTTATCTGAAAAAATTCGTGAATTCGATGGACGAAATATTTGTTTATTTTTTAAATTAACTTTTAAATATATTTTATTTATTATTGCCTTTTTTAATAAAATAGACGTTACATTACTTTGAATTTTGTATAACTTCTATATGATGTACAATAAAGATTATTCGTTATATTTTCTTATCTGTCTTGTCACAATAATGTAGAGATTTGTTGCTTAATTTTTTTATCGTCAATTTTTCCCGGGAACTAATCTCAGTAGTATAAATTTTAATTTTTTATTGAATCCTATAAATGTAATAAGAAAGAAATTACCTAGCCGAATAATTTAATTTTTCTCGATTTATTAATATTTTATCTATAAGAGAAAAACTGAGTAACCTGCTTTCTTAAACGGTGTCACCACCATACACCGCGAATTTAAACAAAGGCCTAAATCAACAGAAGTAAAAGAGAAACCGCCAGTTACGCGACCCAAAACATAGCGCAGGACAAAATAAATTATTACCACGAATTTTAGGCTTAGGCTGAGTTAAAAAAATCATATTATGTCCTACAATATTGATTCCATCAAAACCCATTCAATACCGAAGTCACGTACGAACCGAAGATTTATATTGATAGGTAAAAACCATTTCCAAAGTACCTATTATTAAAGTGCCAGACTTTATTACCAGTACGTTAACAGGCACTAAAATTTTAGTACGCCGTACAACCTTGGTTTTTTAATAAATAAATTAAGTATATTGAGAACGAAAAACGACATCGCCATACCGGCAGAACTCTGCAGGCAGCAAAAATACAGCCGAACCGGATGCGTAAAAAATAATCCTGTAAAATATATAGGAGATAAAGCGGCCCGGAGAACGATACGGCTATCCACAGGTAGGCTGAAAAAATACTTACATTCGGTAAATGTAGAGAAAAGCGCCACGAGAGCGCGCGGTGGGTGCTAGCGGCGAGCGCGAGCGATAAGCGGAGTAGTGAGCGCGAGCGGCGGTACGAGCGATAGGCACGAGCGACGCGGGTGCACACGAGGGCGGAATAAACCGAGCGAGCGAGCGAGGGTTGTAGAGAGCGTGGCGACCGCTCTGCGACCAGGGCAAGCGACCGTCTGCCTCGACCTCCCGATCCAAACTGCTTATCGACCTCCCCTCGCGCGCACACCGATCCCGCCCGCCCAATACGCCACCGCGCCCGCCTACCGCACAACGTTGCCGAAATTGTGAGGAGGCTTTGACTATTCATCTCTCATTATTCTTAGCTATGCCTGAATCGATGTGCACGTGATGAATAATAATTGCATTACAAATACTTTACAAAGTTCAGAAAACAAAAAAGTATTTCTTAAGTATAGTTTACTTGTTAGGGGGAACTAGCGAGACGAGGAAATCGGGAAATTACTAAGACAGAGTTTAGGGTCGGCGAACAAGTAGCGGTAAATTGGTTGAATCTAACAGTATGACGCTTGAATCGTGTCGTACCTTGTTATTACGTGCCTTGTATGAAGTTCCATTTGTCTAATGAAACAACGGCTCTATTTTGCGTGGGATTAAATTATCTATTTCGATAAATCAGAGTGACATAGTTATTAATAAACTTATTAATGTTGTACACTTGTCCCTACCGAGAAAATGGTAATTCTAAAGAACCCCTAATAATGCTAAATATTTTAACTACAAAGTTCGACAAAATATTGTCTGTAAATAAATATATTTCGGTATTTTGCTTTAAACAAGTAATTTAATTTGTACATAAGCGTGACGACAAAGCATGGTTCTGCAGTACCCGCATTTAGGTTAATACTACAAAATTCCATAGTTTCTCTTTGTTAAACTGTTTTACTAGCGTGTCAACTATGGCTACAACAATCCATATACACAAGAAATCTTTCTTAAAATATATTTGAAAGTAAATGCTTCTTTAGATAAAGTTTTAAGTACCTATGTGATGGGAAACCGCTTGCACTAGTAAGGTTGTCATTATCAAAGCTGTATGTGATCCGTGTTTGTAACCCTTTTAGCAACTAACTTTCTTACCAACTTTCGACGTCACCATAACCACAGACATTTGTATTTCAGTGGGTTAACGTGCTTCCTAAGCCATAGAGCAATCTGTATGGGTAAGAGATGGTCACATGGTCTGGTCACCCAACCACGAATTATCAGCAGCAAACGTTGTGCAACTCATATGATAGAGCCCTGAAGTCGTCACTTATCTAGCTCTAAACCTGTTGAATTCTACAACATTTTTCTCATTTTTAGAAGCTTTCTATTATTTCTATTTATGGCAATAGGCTCACCCCCTATTACATGGGACTCATAACATAAATAGTGAAAAGTGGGTGTTACATTGTACAGTGGTATAATGTGCACCTCTGCCTACCCCTTCGAGGATAAAAGGCGTGATGTTATGTATGTATGTTATGTTCTATTATTTTTGTGTCACTGTGTTTACCTAGTAGTTTCTGTAAATTGTTAATAGATTATATTTTTTTACTACTACATCATACCGAAAATCATTAAAATGTCGATACCCCCATAGGTACGTGTCAATCGCACTTGTGAGCACCCGATTGACAAAACATATATTTTTTTAAATATCGTTGTCAGTATTCATAACTCAAACCATGTAAAATGCACTACAGATTATAGAAGCTTAGCAGGCCTTTCGCTACAAACATAATCGAAAAGGGTCAAGCCGTTTAGCAGAAATGTAATTATGAAGACACGCTCACTACAATTTTGTGTTCTAGGTTTGTTTAACAAGTGCAAATCTAATAACGGAGTTAATAAGGTTCATAATCCAGTAAATGATAATTTCAGTATCCTACAAAATTATCAAAACTCTCAGTCAAATTCACCGAGGAAGTGGAAACTATCATTTTTTTCTTCTCTAATATTATCTTCTGAATTATTTCGCTGCGGGATCCAAGACACTTATTCATGACCATTCAGTGATCCGGTGTGTTCATGGTTGTTCTATATATGGTAAATCCTGGCTTACAGGAGTTGCAGCGGGTTTTGTAAGGTTGTGGCAAGTTTGTCCCAAAAAATATAATCCCGGTCAACATTTAAGGAGGTGATAGTTATTAGGACCAGATTGAAGTGACTTTTTAAATACCAACCTAACACAAAAAGACTCCCAAGCCGCCAGAAAGCAGTATCTAGCGAAAAAGTGCATTTGTGTCTCCTTCGATGTTACGCGTAAATATATATAGGCCGTGAACATCGCTTATGAGAAGGTGATCCATAATTATACGTATGCTCGTTTGACCTCTATCCCGAAAAAAGAAGTTGCCATAAATTCCGTGTTGTAAGTGTTACTCTAGAAATGGAGGAATCCTGGGCTTATATTTGGAATCGCCAACTCGCATTGAGCAAATGTGGTGTTTAACAGGCAAACCTTCTCCGATCGAGAAGAGGTCTTTGGTCAACAGTGGCCATTCATAGGTTGTTGATGTGATGGTAAGAGTTACCGACTGTTTTCAGTACTGGATGTCTACAAGTCAATGATAAATATAATTACTAAGTTAGCCCAAAGCAAGTGTAACTTAAATACACCACTAGTAAATCTTCAAGGAACATTCATGATCAACCTATTATTACCTACATAATATACATATGTTCTGAGTTATTACACTGATATAATTTTCTCATGACCTAAATTGTATGGCGATGACGTATAAAAGGATTTATCATTCTTATTTATTTATTCACATACATTATCAGGGAGGCGTCGGAAATCTGTCATGTGAATTTCATATGAATGAATTTATACACGACCTCCCCCCACCCCGACCCCTCCTATTACAATTCACAATAAAACAAAGTTATTTACAGATGAGAAGATATTTTAAACAATCGCTAATTTTTCTTTATTAAGAGGAATACAATACTTTAGGTCGTGGTGGCTTGGAGGTTTACTTCTCATGCTTGAGGGTGCGGGTTCGAAATCCTACCTACTGACGCTTTCCAAGTTTTAAGTACTTTCTAAGATTATTCAGATACCACTGACAAACGCTGATAGAAAGCATGGGCTTATAATTTCTAATTATACCTACGTTACAAATCACCAACCCGCATTAAGCTAGCGTGGTGATTAATGCTTCAATGTTCAAACCTTCTCTGTGTGAGAAGAGACTTTGCAGTGAGCATTTTTATAGACTGTTGATAATGATGATGATGAAAGTATTTTTGTTCACACGACTTTTAATCCCAGAAGAGGTACAGGACTCCTCTTTCCATCAGTTATATTGTGAATACCATGTAACTAGTGAGGGTATTGTTTTACACTAAAGAAACGTTATCCGTGGTAATAGAAAATAAATTCGCTAAAAAAGGAACATAATTATTTACCTAACCTAGAAATCCAATCCAAGATCAACGAAACAATATCAATCTAGAAAAATCCAAGACACCATTCTATTATATTATAGATTATTCTATTATAGATATATTCGAATATTCGAAATCAAAAGACATCACACAAGGGAAAAACTCCGGTGATTATCTTGTTCTAGTTACTTCTAGTGTTCACACAATAGTACAAAGATAACTACAATGCATTAAGTCTAAGAAAGAAAGAAGATAATTTATTTAGCATGGAGCACGTTCTACTAAAAACACCCAACAGCCAATAATACCAAAAATAAACAAGAATAAAAATACAGGCAAAAAAGATATAAAATATACAGAACAACAAACTACAACAAAAATAGGAGCACTTATAAAAAATAAAAGTAAAAAATAGTACTGTAACACGCATAAAAAATTTACTAGTTTTAAATGACAAAGTTCTTTTTTTTCCAATGTAAAAAGTTTATACTTTGCAATGGCAGCTAAATAATAATTTTAAACAACACACAATTATTAAATGTTAAGTGACACATCACTGAGGAACAAGGAACTAACTTTTAGACACGACTTTGTTTGTTTAATCTTAATTATTCATTGTAATAAATATTCATAATGGTTTTATCATATAATTGAATATAAGGGTGTGTCTACATCTGACGAATGTTTCGCGAATGTGCAGATCGCGAGCCGTTTGTAAGCGGCCCGTGAGCAGTATGCGTGCAATTCAAATTATTATTAGGTATTTTATGCATTGCATTAGTTGCAATAAAGAGGTGCGGTAAAATATTACACTGACTTCGCGCGTTCTCAGCTCGCAAACGGCTGCTGCGAGCTGCTTTCACGGAACATTCGCCCGATGTGGACGCACCCTTAGTATTTAAGTTCACTCCACCAGACCACCACAGATGGGGCCTAACAAGGCTGATGCCGATACGGAGCCGCGGAAGACTTAACGGGTTGCCGGGGCTCCGGCTCGAAGTGCAGGAGAAGGTACGGGGTGGTTTTTAGTCAGTAAGAGTCTGACACTCCCTCCCGCCTCACCCAGGCGGGAGAAGTCATTGGATGATTTTCCCCCCTCAAAAAAAAAAAGTATTTAAGTCCACTAAAAACACTTTGGCTATTTAAACGTTTACTATCTCCTCGTACAACCTTATTATGCGAAACATGAAAGAGATCGAATATTTTTATGCAAAAAGCCTAATTTTATGTAAGTACTAGCTTCTAGCCCGCGACTTCGTACGCGCAATCCTGTTTTCTTCCGTTCCCGTAGAATTTTCAAGATTTTTTCCATCTTAAGAACTATCACTTAATAATAACAAATACAACAAAAAAAGAATTAGTGAAATCTGTCCAGCCATTCACGCGTGATGTCGTGACCAAAGGAAAAAGGGATTCATTTTTATATATATAGAAAACATAATAATTCATTTTTCTATATGAAATTTCAAAACCATACCGTGAAAAATCACCAACTAATAAGGGTTTAGTGAGACTGGTTGTTGGGCCAAAAATGTCAAAAACACATGTCACCATTAAATGGAAGGTCCTGCACCATCACACCCACGTCACAAGGCTTTAAGATATAGGTCAGCTTGGTGTTACAACAATATAAATTGTATCTCACAATGTATATTAAAATCATTGGAATTAAACATTCCTTAGTTTCGTTCTCCAGAAAAAATGTAGTTAAAAAAAATTAAAATTTCGCTTTAATCATAGGTATGTCCCCGTCATTATGAAAATTATTAATTTATTTGAATGAATCCAAGATTCCATCAATTACCTTCCAATTCTTTATCAAACTAGCTCGATGGTGCCGTAATATTGTATCGTCATCTAATC